GGTTCAAGAGAACTTGTGGGGGATACTGGACACACTAGGTGTAAAAGATAGACTCACAAATCTTTTAAAGGACATCTACAGGTAACAAGGTCGTTATTAAGTGGGAAAAACAGGTATCCAAGTCCGCAGATGTAAAACGGGAGCTTAGGCAGGGGTGTCCTCTATCACCCTTGTTAGTCATGATGTACCTACAAGGCTTAGAGGCCAAATTATAGGGAAGTGAACTTGACTTCAACCTCTCTTTCGTCAAACAAGGAAAACTCATTGAACAGGCACTACCAGCATTGATGTACGCAGATGATGTAGTGCTAATGGCCGACAACAAGGAAGATTTGCAGGGATTGGTGGACATCTGCGGTAATGAGGGAGATAGGTTAGATTTCAGATTCAGTAAGGAATAATCAGCAGTCATGATTTTTAATGACAATGAAGGTAGTGAGCTTAGAATACAGGAGGTCACGCTAGAGATAACAGATAAATACAAATATCTGGGCCTATGGATAAGCAATGGGGCCGAGTACCTAAGGGAACACGAAACATACTTGACGACTAAAGGTAACAGGAATGCAGCGGTAATGAAAAACAGGGCACTGTGGAATTACAATGGGTATAAGGTTGAGAGAGGAAATGAAAAAGAGTCATGGCTCCTTGTCTGACGTTCGGCAATGCGGTCTTGTGCATGAGATCAGAAGTTCAAGCAAGATTAGAAATTAAGCAACGTGGAATAAGTAGGCTTGCCTTAGGAGCTCACGGGAATACACCAAATCAGGGTGTACAAGGTTATATGGTGTGAACATCATTTGAGGGCAGACAAGCTAGCAGGAAGATGAAATTTGAGAAGTGATTGAGAGAAATGGGGGAGGGGCGTTGTGCTAAGAAGGTACACCCTAAGGCAAAATTACCCGGAAAAGGAGTAACAGAGCCCAAAAGGCATGCGCAATAAACGGATAGACCGCTTAGGAGGAACCACAGAGGGAAGCATGCTGTGTGCAAACCACTTAGTCTCCAAACACGCTCCAAAGGGATGAACTGGCCGGGGGTTGCAGGCAGCGCGAAAAGCGTTGCCAAGGTCACTAGCCGTCCTCCTCCTCTCCTGGCTCAGTCTTTCCCCGTATTTTGCTGTCGACGGTTCGCGTCGCGTCGTGCTCGGAATGCCTGACCACGGCCGCCTGGATTCGACAATCTAGTAATTACGGCGTTGCGCTTGTGTGTACGCTTGGATGAGCGTGGGCTGCTGCTTTTACGTTTCGCTGCAGCCATGAAGTTTGGAGCAAGTCTCGACACGTCACCACGCCACGCTGTATAACTCTGGCTTAAAGATAGTCATGACCGACACATGACAGCAATAATTGGGAAGGCCAACATGGCGGCTGAGAAGACAGCAGGCCTATCGGATGTATACTTCAGTCCGACTCAGGGCGAAAATCAGCGCTGCATTATTTCGCAAGTAGGTTATCATTGTTTATTCTACTCTACATGTCGCGTGTTCGATACGGATCGCGCTTGCCGGCAACGGGCTCGGTTATGTTGTATATCGCACGCACCAAATGCACTGCGAAGGTCAGCTTGGGCGTCTGCGGCTCCGCTGTGCATTTCGACCGCCTGGAAATTGGCCGCCATTGACGTCGGCCTCCTGTACGCTCGCTCATCGACTGCTCGCCTGTCTTCGCCGCCGTGATGAGCTCCGGGCTGACGATATTGGGCTGAGGCCTCGTCACTGTGTTGGGAGTCGTCGAAAACACGTTGCGGGTTCTCATAACGAGCTTGGTTGTAGTATGTCGCGCGCTTATGTGCACCAGCACGGGCTAGCAGGGCTTTCGCTAGCGTCGGAACTCAGTGAAAATTGGTCGCCATTACAGTTGGCATTCGCGTCAGTCGGTCGCTAGCAGCTTGGCGCCGTCTGTTGGCCGCGGCAGCGGACTGGCGTTTGCGCGCTGCACTCGCTCGAGTTTGTGGGAAAGGGCCGCATTTCCGTCGATTTCTTCGGCGCGAGCTCCTGGCCAGTTCGGCGCTGTTCGTAGCGGCGGCCAAGCGTACGCTCGCTCTGCTGTTCGAAGTTCGCTGGCGGCAGACTCTCCGCGTACAGCGCCATGTTTCGTCTTGCGTTCACTTGCTCGAGGTGAACGACGTCGCTCGCTTAGGACTCGCCGACTTGTTGGCGGCACGGTGGTTCGCGGAGCTGTTGCACCACGGGGATCGAAATGAGTCTTTGACGATTGTGACATCATGGTGAAATTATTAGCATGTCATATCTCACGTACGTTTTTATTTCACCATGCACGTATTTCTCATATGCATTCGTATTCACCCTCTGTCACGCGTGACTCACTATTTTACATACTTATTGTGCAGCCATGGGCACACACCGTGCTAAAGGCTGTGTGCGCTGTCGTCTACGATGCCTGTCATCCACCTCTTTCGTCAGAGCAGCTTCAAAAGGACTGCGCGAGATGTGAAGGTAAAGTTGTTTGTGTGTATTGCATTACACGCATGTTTTATATTACCTTCAACGTACTTGTCATATGCGTGCATCATCATCATTTGTCACGTGTGTCTAACTATTTTTACTATCTTATTGTATGTACAGCCGTGGGAACACAACAGGCAGAAGGGTGCGTGCGTTGGCGTCTGCAATGCTTCCGTCGAAGGAGCTCCCGTCGCTTCCGTCGAAGGAGCTCCACTAGGAGTGAACAAGATGTGACAACGAGACTGGACTTGTACACCTTACTTTGAATTGACTGAAAAGAACGGAGAAACTTCATGTGTATGTAGGAAAATAAAAGATTTCGATATCTCACTTTTGTCTTTAGTTGTTGCCGTGACTGCGAAAGCAGTTACAAATTGGCTAACTACTTTTCGCGTGTTCTTTTCTGCGATATTTCTCACTCACTGCACAGAAAAACAGGCGAAAAAAGTATGAAGCCTGGCGGAAAAAATCAAAAAACAAACTTTGAACTGGGGATAAAGAGTTCATCCGATTAGAGTATTTGAGTGGATCAACCGTTCGTCCGGTGAGATGCAACTGTGAGGACTAACGGTTGCCCGGTAAAGTGTATATGTGGGGACTAACAGTTGCCCTATAAGGTGCAATAGTAAGGACTAAATGTCGGTCTTTGAGTTCAATTGTAGGACTAACGGTTACTCTCTAAGGTGTAAGTGTGAGGACTGAATGTTAGTCCCTTGAGGTCATTCGTAGACACTAACTGTAAGACCCGGTGTCGTTAGTCCTTAAAGGGATTAATGGTTGTGGCAGCCCCATTAGTCCTCAAAAGGATGAACCACGCACCTTTTTAACACCCTTTTGCCTCAGAGTGTATTCAGCTATTGTACATGAAGAATGTCGATACAAAAAGGAGGAAGCGAACCAGAAAATTGACTGGTAAATACGTAGAAAACAGCAGGGGGCGAAACCAAAAAGAATTATTGGTTAAGAAGAAGGTGAAGGAAGCTGAGACCAATATGTGGAGAATTGGCGTGATTATGAAATCGGCACTAATGATCTATCGATCTTATGAGCAGGAAATTGCCAAGTAAAATATCTATGATAATACTTGGGGTAGTTTGCTACTGTTTGAGGACAGGATGGGAGTATTACGAACGAAGACATATTGGGCCAAATACGAAGACCCCGGGTAGACACGGTATGCAGTGCGTGTGGAGAGGAGGAGGAAACGGCCGAACACTTGATAATGTTCTGTGGCGCCCTGGAAACAGTGGCACAACTCTGCTACCTAAAGGTAGAATGTGCAGTAATTCTACTGTATGTAGCCACCTCTCGTTTAGTTCTCGAAATGTTCACTAGATGACGGTACTTGTAGCTCATGATGAAAAGATGCAAGATGTTATAAACTAGACAGCGGTACTTGTAGTTGATGATGAAAGATGCAAGATGTTATAAAATAGGAATGATGCCACTAATGGCACGTGTCATTGTAGGAAGGCAATCGCTCGATTTAGTGCGGCTACATACGCAAAGGGGAGCGTTGTAATAAAATTGAGGTGGCAAAATGTACGCAGGATTTATGGTTTACCAGGTTTACCTCTGGAGCTTTGCCCACTCATCATCATTCACTTCGTGGATATGGCGGCACTTTTTTTCGTTTTTACTTTCTTGAAATCATCATCATCATCATCATCCTGACTACTTCCACTGCAGGACAAAGGCCTCTCCCATGTTCCACCAGTTAACCCGGCCTGCCAATTGATGCTGCCAATATATACCCGCAAACTTCTTAATCTCATCTGCCCACCTAACCTTCTGTCTCCCCCTAACGCGCCTCCCTTCTCTGGGAATCCAGTTGGTTACCCTTAATGACCACCGGCTATCCTGTTTACGCGTTACATTCCAGGCCTATGTTTATTTCTTCTTCTTTATTTCAACTATGATATCCTTAACCCCCGTTTGTCCCCTAATCCACTCTGCTCTCTTCTTGTCTCTTAAGGTTACACCTACCAATTTTCTTTCCATTGCTCACTGCGTCGTCCTCAATTTAAGCTGAACCCTCTTTGTAAGTCTCCAGGTTTCTGCTTCGTAGCTAAGTACCGGCAAGATACAGCTGTTATATACCTTTCTCTTGAGGGATAGTGGCAATCTACTTGTCATAATTTGAGAGTGCTTGCCGAATGTGCTCCACCCCAGTCTTATTCTTCTAGTTACTTCAATCTCGTGGTTAGGCTCTGCGAACCAAGTATTTCTTGAAATACGTGGCCTCTAAGACCAACCGCAAGGCAGAACGGTCGTTCAACCACAAAGTTATTAGGTTATCAGCTACGTAATAAACGAGACTTGATCTTTTTGTTTGCCCTTTTTATTGCTTAAACTTTTTTGTGGCCGCGACTTCCAACCAAGGCGCCGTAAGGCAGAAGGAAAAAAGAAACAAAACACAGAGACACACACTCTCACACACACACACACACTGCCCGTTGCCCGAAGTTATCCCTTCAGAGACGACTCACGTGACTGACCACACCCAACCAAGCTTTGGAGGCGGCCGGCGCTGTCAGGCCTGAGTGACTTTGTTCGTGAACAACACTTTCAGGGTTGTGTTGTCTCTCCTCCATTGCACAAGGTTCATGAAGTGGACACTGAGGCGCTGGCAGGCAAACCCAATCCAGAAGACAGAAATAACGAACAGCGCTAAGGCCAGTGACGCTGTTGGAAGCCATGATTTAGGGCTGTACTCGACCAGGACGTACATCCAAGCCATGGTGAGCACGCCGATGTTACCCAGATTGAAAACCATGTAGGCCAAAAACAGAATAGCGTCCTCACGCGACTCTTTATCCCAGAAGCTTAGCCAGAGTGGCTTGGTCTGGCGCCGTACTGGGTAACGAGTGTGGCACACCGCGCACACGCCGCCTTCAGGTCTTTGGTACAAAAGCTGCTCCAGGCAAGACTGGTGTACGTACGTGTCGATGCAGCGGCACGGGCACTGGTAGAGTGGTTCCTCCGGCGCATTTTCGTCCTCGGAGCACAGCCGGCACGACAGGTGAGCCATTGGTCTTTCCGCCTCGGCAGCGTGCGAGGCCGACGTGGATTCGGTGGCGTCGCTCTCCGTGCTACTCCTCTCAGCGCTGCTGGCGGTGCTGATAGCATCGTCTTCCATGCCTCCATGCTGATGGACTAAGTCCACCTCCACGTTCTCTCGCTCCTCGGCACTCTGCCCGGTAGCGCTGGTGTCTTCCGTAGTGGTTGACCTTCGGCTGAGCTCGTCCATCTCCAATTCTTCGTTCGCTTGGGCCTCGACGTTGTCCACAACCTGTACGTTAGCGAAGAACGACATTATATACGTGGGCAATCGCTGCGTCTTAGAGAGGATGGCGTCAGCACGCGTTGGTGGTGCCTAGAGGACGAAGCTTTGCCGGGCGCTGCCCACGTAATCCTTCGGTGCATGCAACCTCGTTGTCTTCAGCACTTGATTCGCGAGCTGCCGAGATATTAGGATTCCCAGTGTTTACGATGAAGAAAAATTGAAATGAAATTGGCCTCAAAAATACTTTGTTTACTTAAACCCTTCAATGAAACAAAAGCATTCTCTTTATTGTGGACGACTGGGCAGTCGTTCTAAAATTTAAAAAGCAATGCGTACACGCAGGTAGGCCTAGAGGTGAAATAACAGCGTTTTCAGGACCCTCTAGAAGGTTCTCAATCGAAAAGTGTGCAAAGTATAACGCTCATTTACTCCCTCAATATCACAGTACAAAGAAGAGACATCGTATACATATTTACGAAATTGGTGCTGCTCTTGAATCTAAGCAAACAAATGGTGTAGTTACTTTTTCGCAACAATGAAGCAGAAGTATTGAAATTGATCAACCTGATTAATACAAACATTCTTTGTTCACTAAAATCATTACTTATGAAGAGCAGTAGCAGCGAAAGACATGTATCCCTGTAGCCTGCTACTATTAAGAATGATGGTGATGATATAAAAAAATACATTCTACGGCCTCTTTCTTCTTCCTCGGTGTTCATAATCAGGCATGTAGGTCTTCCTCTTCTCTTGAAAAAAATTGGGCGCCCTTAAGCTTTCCCTAATAAATTTGAACGCGATCGGAATAACCTGTCCTGAGTGCGTACTTCAAGTACTTAGAGAATATTTTTAATTGTGCTGCCTTCGGGCTTCTTTGACAACACGAGGCGTTGTAAAAATAAACATAATTTACTTAAACTCATATAATCGCGTACCACACAGGCTGCACAAGCGACACGCGGGTAAGCAGCGCGTAAGTCTCTCTCGTGAACGTCGTCGTCTTCCACTAGCCACAGCAGGACGTGTGCTTCTCCTGGAGGCGCTAGCAAAGCGCCTGAAATATACGAGGTTACTCCGGAACATTATATTTTGTATTACTTCGATGTAATCGATAAAGATACCGGTGTCTTTTTTCAGGAAGGTTTACTAATGGCTGAATTCTATGTAAAGGGTAGCATGCTTTAAATCGCGAGAAATTTTAAAGAAACTGCCTACCGCGCAAAAAAAAATCTGATTGTAAGGAAAATGGGAAGATCGAAATCACATAGATGGCAACGAGCATGCATGCTTTTGCGGCAACGGCCTTTAACTTGGAACGGACATTAAATAGTCTTTTATTATGGCTTCCACGTCATTGTGAGATTATTGGCAATCAATGGGTCGATCGAGCTATCCGGTCTGCCCATACTAAAAACCATCAAATATCATTCCCGCTCTCCAGAAATGACGCTGCATGGAAGCTCCGCATGCTTGCTCACGAACACACATTTCGCAGGGGAACGAGCCTCATATCACGCACGCACGATTATATGCCCTATATACTCAACTCCGTCTTCAAATTCTACCTGGACTCCGCCGAGGTGACGCTACCCTGTACTGTGCTAAGGTTTGGTGTCGCATTTGTCGGGCAGAACGTTGGGGCGCGGTCGAAGAGTGGAGTGCCGTACTTGTGGCGTCTTTGCAGGGGGTACCTCGACGCCAGGCACCATTTCCTGAGCAAGGTCAATGCTGTTCCAGGAAAGGGGCCGTTTCGACACTGCGGCCAAACTGGTAGATGTGGGTGCGTGCTCTTCTCGGATTGTGGCTTCTTTGAACTCCTAAGATCGCCGCCCATGGACGCTGGTTGGTTCGCAGTCGCTTTCCTCGTCGTACTCGTCAGTGGTTTTTTCAGATGTGAAGCAGCTCCTTGACTAACCTACGTAAATCTGTCTCTTCGTTCGCAGCGCTCCCCTCGCTGCAGTGTGCGGTGACGTCTCTCCCCCTCGTCTGCCGCGCGCTCACCGCGTTTGAGGTCTTCCTCGCTAGCCTCTTCACCGCTACCCTCACCACAGTGTGCGGTGGCATCTCTCTCCCTCGCCTGCCGTGCGCTCACTGCGGGTCAGTTCTTCCTCACTGGTCTATCTACCGCTCGCAGCGGAGTTCACTTATTACGTGGGAATCATCTCACCCGTTCCACTTCCCTCCACCTGTCGGCATATGCGCGCGCCTCGAGAATATCGCGGTGCCGACATTATGACAGCGTGCCGCTGCATGCCACGCGATCGCGCCGACGGGCGGGAATGAGTCGCGGCATGCTTCGAACTTGTGTTCGCGTACCTTCTCCGGCTGTCGCTGCCGTTGCGTGGGGTAGTAAAGCCGATTGCGTTCGCGATAGGCGATGTCAACACCAACGAAGCGCGAGCTAGGGAAGCCGAACGCAAGCGTCGGCAGTGGAAGACTAGCGAAACCGATGAAGTGCGAGTAAGAACACCGATTGCGTTCGAGAATACAGACAGCACGCCATAGGCGCATCAGGCGGAGATCTATAGAGACGCTAGCCCCCCCCCCCCCTTAGAAAAGTTGGAAGGGGGCTGAGCTCCCCCCCACTTTCGACAGTGCATTATGGTCACTCTTGGCTGCACGCTGGGGAAACTAACAAGTAAAAGACGTTTTCGGTCACAACAGTCATCACTCAAAATTGTTATTACGGGGAATTAAAATGTTATGAGGCATTTGTTGCAACAGAGTGGAATTATGCCAATATTTCCGCTCAGATGATTGTCCTTGTAGGCTCTTTGCGGTGCGAGTCGGCTGTGCGACGCTTTCGCGTCTTCTCCTGTAGTATTGCAGAGCACGCAAGCGCTGAACAGGGGCCCTACATTATTACATAACTTGTTCATGCTTTCATTCTACTTTGACTTGTTATTACAGTTATGGATGGGAACGAGCAAACTTTTTAAAGACTGGTCTAAGCATTCGCTGCTTCAGGAAAATCATTTTCACGAAAAGAATATACCGTCACCGCTTATCTGACGAAGTTATTGCGAGCCAATGAGTGGGACAAAGTGTTTTTTTTAATTTTAAGTTTTTCTGTACTGAGAGGCTAAATTTTTTTTCTGCTCTGGTCCATGATGAGGCTGATCAGCTTTGCTTATGGTGACTTGGAGCCATAGCGGTATTTTCCAAAGTGGCCACGAATAAAGCATTGAACTCGACCTCAATAGGAGGTTCAGCTGTTAAGCTTGCCCCACAACTCGATCCACCAGACGAGGGAGAAGGTGAAATACCGTGGTTTCACAGCGAAAACTGTTGAGACTAAAGTTCCGTTCCCGCGCGGCCCCGTAGTTGTCCGCCGCTGCCACCGCCGGTGTCCGTAACCGCATCGCACAAAATTTAAAATAAAACAACCTAGCACCATTGACACAGTGGAGATCGAACCCGTGTCCACTGGGTGCCAGCCCAATATGCTACCCATGAGACACGCCTGTGCTTGGGACTTGTTGGAAATCTTGCTTTAGGCAGGCTTGATGTCAGGAAAGGAATCACGTTATTACGACTTATAAATCGTTTTAAAACAGCGACAGAACAACAACTCTTCGCACAATGCGAATAGCGTGAATAGCGGGTCACAAAATGTTCCAAATAATTGCAAAAACTTTTTCTCCTAATAACTGTGGCGCATACCCACTTCAGGCATAAATACCAAAGCGAATGCCCACCTACTACCGAAAAAGCTCTATTAATATTACCATAGTGGGTATCAAGGAAGTGTGTTTGCAGCAGCCATCCAATGAATGTTTAGAAAAGGCTCTGAAAGATCACTCTTCTAGCTTTCGCTATGACTGTGCTGCGCCTTCTGCGCAGGCCTGGCGTTTTTTAGCACTGTCGAGGCTTAGGAATTGGGCTAGTTGGTTTTCACACAACTTGAATTTTTCTTTAGAGCTCCAAATACATCTCGAGCAACAAAGAAGCGCACAAGTGCAGCGCTGCCTGTTTCTCTCTGTTTCTCTTTCTCTGAGCAAGTATGAGCTCACAGATATGTATACGCGCACAAACTACTAAGAACCGTTATGCTGCATGTAGATATATTTTATTAATCTCATTATCCATTTCGCCAGCTGCTACATGTAGCCCATGTTCTTGTGAATGGCAGCAAGCATACTTGAATTACATTTTGAAAAAGATGCTCTCCGATTTCATGACATCATATAACAAGCAGGCGATTTTCTGGCACACCGAAAATTTTAAATGGCGACGAACCAATGAAGAACGGTATGCCGAATCGAAAATAGTTTCTCTTATTTTTTACGTGGTCGCGCATAAGTGAATGACACGATGGGTCATTTTCACGTCATTTGTTGCTTCGCGTAACAAGCTGGTGCAGTGTGCATGACAAAGACTGTTACACCAATGTTCCCTCGAGGTTCTCCTTAAGCTGCTCAGTGAAGCTTTTTCGCCTGGTCTCCGTGCAACCTTGTTGCGCAATAAACTCAATTGAATTCAATATCCAGCTAAAAACAATTTCAAAAGCACGCAATGAGGGATAGTTTAACATTACAATCGGCCACAATTTGTTCTTTCAAAGGACAGTTTTGTTTACACTGTTTGTTAGGTGTATTTAGGCAGGTGCCTGGGGGCCAGTTAAGAAATTTTGATACAAATACAATAAAAGTGAACAACGCACTACACCGCTAACATTACAAATGATACATTTTAAATGAAAAGGGCTGATAAGTCGAGACTATTAGCAAATAACGCAAATTATATTACGCACATGTCTGAATATATGAGAGAAATTGTAATAGTTACGAAAACATAAAACAGCAATTATTCCTTCAAAAACGTGGTTGTTATCTCCGTCTGAGGAATCGGCATATAACACGAAAGTAAAATGCGCCTTTACAGGGGTACTCAAAAGTTTACTGTAGATTAATAAAGGAGGGTTCGCCGAATGTATGTCTTAGTGTTTGGCAGCTATAGCCCCGTTCAACGCAGATGTATCCTCGTTGACGCCTGGTACTAGGCCTCGCGCCAGAGGTCCTTGGATTCTC